ATCAATCTTCTTTTTATATCTATAATAACATATTCGTTTTCATAAAACTACAATAGTTCTATCATCATTTAATAAGTGCATGAATTATCAATCCGTTAATATGATTGTATCGTTTTACATACGAGAGAGATTATCTTTTCCACACATGCAATAAAGAAGTATATCTTAAACATAACACACGTCACTAATTACAATTTACAACTTTGTAATACATTAATATCGACACATGTATGTATATATAGAGCAATTAGGGGCTGTGCTCACCACTTCTACGGTAAAAAGTGGAAGAAGAAGGCAGCGAACGATGACGGAAATCCCGGAACCGGTCTAACCAGCGCCTCACGGTGGACGAGAAGTAGTCAGTGGTGGAAAGCCTTAGGTTCTGAAAATTCGGCCGGTGGTGTTGGTCCACCGCCACTCTGAACCGGTCCCTTAGCCGCAGCTGCAGCAGTCGAGCCCTATCCTTCCACAGATCTCCTTCGCATTCTGTCCAGCGCTCCACCGCCATTTTTAACACTCACAAATCCACAAATACAATGTATGATCTATTGAATTAAAATCATTCAAATTCATATGCTCACAAAATATGATTTTCACAATTATAACTGATACATAAATCGCAAAACATATTGACACGGATGTAAATATGTAGATGCTTATACAGATCCTCCGTTTGTGCAGAGAGAGTAACGCTGCGCGAGTGTAGAGAGAGAACGGAAAAAGAAGTTTAATGGGGTTTCCTCCGTTTGTGCAGAGAGAGTAACGCTGCGCGAGTGTAGAGAGATAACGGAAAAAGAAGTTTATTTGCTAGGGTGCGCCTCTTGTCAATTGTATAATCATAATTCTTCCACAAATATCTTTGTGGGGTTAATAATACACGTGTCAGATAAAAAGTAATAGAGGCCCCACAATTTCTAGTATACGTGTCCGAATAACCATTTGGGCCGTTGAAGTTCGGTTCTGGAACAATCGTCGGGCTCAGGATTCGGAATAATTTAGTCAGTACAACGTTCAGTGAAAATTTATATCTTCAGTAAATTTTAATTTAAAAAAAATTAATAAAATATGTGAATAAAAATTAATAACAGTTATAAATTCTATTAAAATATTTGAATAAAAATAAATTTGAGAAAAAATGAATTATAAAAAATAAGTGATCAATAAAAGCCAAATGTTGCAAAAGAAACAAAAATCATTAGTCATACTTATAATTTCACTCTTTTTCATTCAATTAAGTATGCTTTAAGTAATCTTACTTCAATTTGATTTCGATAACTTCAATGACATGATAACTAATGAATGATGATTACCATATGTAATCATTAATTGCTAATGTGAAATGAGTACAGCTACTACTGTACTCGAAAATGGTTGACACTTCGAGTGACCGATCCTTGCATTGCACATGGATCCTGCGTGAATAAAATAATGTCCGACCTTCGAGATGTGCGTTCGGTCATCCCCTATATTTGTGTAACATGGCTCATGTGAAATAAATACTTCTTTTTGGAAATAAATGATTGGCATCATTTTTTTACTTCTATGCTAAAGATTACAATATGTCCAAGTAACAGAATTAAAATCAAATTAAATGATATTTCTCGATGAGACAAAATTGAAATACAATTACTTGATTAAATTCTAACTAAATTCTAACGTAAATGATATTTACCCATAAATATTAATAGCTCGTCACAATAGTCAATTTTTTTAAATATTTTTTTACGACACCATGCTTATAAAGCTATATGTCGTCGACAAATATCGTTATCAATCAATCAGGAGTATTAAAACATGCTCATTCACACATAATTCCAGTGTCCCCACACTACTTGGATTAAAGAGTAAGTCGATGATACTTTCGACTATTGAAATAAGATATATCATGAATTCTATTTGTTGATCTTTTGTCTCCCCTTCTTTTGTCTTCATATCCATACATAATCTCATTAAATTGAACTCCAAGTAGAAGAATCATACTCCAATTTGGTTCAACTAAAAATGTTAATTAAAATCTAAATGGAGCCCACAACTTCTCAACGACAGAGTCTAAAATCTTCTATAACCTTATCCAAACATAAAGAAAGGCTGTTTTTATACATGAATATAATTTTTTATTTTTTATGTTAAAGGCAATATACAGATTTGTGTAGAAAGCTGAAAATAAACAACAAAGCACTCATTTCTCACCCTTTTTCTCATTGCCTAATTTTCCCATTGAGTACTCATCAAAAAATTAAAATCTCTCTCCTTGAGTAACCTTAGTGCAAGGACTACAAATTGAGCCTAATAAGCACACTAGTATACCTTGCAAAGGCATTGTGGCTTGTTCAGTAAAAATGTATGGTATTCAATCCAAGAAACAACCAATAAAATAGATACCCAGAATCACCAAACAAATTAAGATGGTACTATGCAGGCAAATCCTGAAGCATTTCATACCATCCTTAAGATATTATTCCCTGATGCTGCAATAGAAACAATTAATAAATAATATTCACAATTTTGAAACGAGAAACTACCATAACATGCAGAATCAGCATTACATAGAAAAAATGGTATCAGTTTTATTGAATCAAATACGACATCTAGCTTGGAGAAAAGCACTGCCCACCTCTGAGTTGTCAGCAAATGAAGATCTCGAAGTTGGGCTCTTTGACACCTATGTTGAGGTAGTTAACATCAACTGCAACTTCCCCAAAATCATCTGACACAGCAAGAAATTCCGATATGTTTCATTCTAAGAATAGTGATGCAGATATGTATGGCTTCCCAGACTATAGCAAGTTTAAAAGCCAAAACCTTCATAGAGTGTCCTTGCAACATGGACATATTCAGGAATGAGATCTTGGTATATGATTCCTTTGGGATGTGCATCCAAGACTACTAAAACTCCTGCCAACAAGAATATTAGGAAAAAGAGATGTTGTGTAAATACGGTTATATTGATCCACAAGCAATTTACTTCAAAAGGGGAGAGTAAGATGCTTGTTTTTCCTCCCTCCTCTTTTTGTTTTGGATTGATTTCCTGCCTGTAGTACCCAGGTCAGGCTTGATATCCTCTCTCTTATATTACTTTATTCTAATTATTAAACTAGTACTGATAGTTGCCAAAACTCCTATACCTCAGTCAGCATGTTTGAATTCTCTGAGAAATGATACAAGACGCCAGAAATATTCTCCTATTGAATATGATGTACTGAAAGAGAGATGATCTGCTCAACACTCAAAAAGAGTTTCGATATGAGCTTTTTCCCAAGTAGGAAAATCAGTTGAAGATATTGCCATCGAATGAAAACAATACATTAAGGATTGAGGTTTCAAGGTTTATAACGTAAATGTAGCTTTTCTGGGATCATCATATTCGGGCTTATGAATTTAAGGAGATGAACATTGTTTTTTCACACTAAATCCAATATAAGTGTTCGATTTCTTTCAATGGATTAATCAGACTATAATTGCTTTGAATCGATATTTGTTGAAACTTCCCGTATGAATATATTAAGCATTACATAAAACTTCTCACTTAGAATATGATATTAGCTATACTTCGACGAAACTGGCACTTATTGTGCATATCGTAAATACATTTGGAACAACCCCCATGAAGCTATAGACAGATCTTGTCCACCAGTTAACCAAGTTCGGCCCCTATATGATAGCTAAAACAGCAAATTTCAAACAATCCTCATTACAGGTTTGTTGTAAAAAGCAATTACTAACAATTCTCAATGATTGCTCAAGGAAACATCCCTGCAATTGGAGTTTTTTTTTTTTGGCTGTTGAATAAAAAATTATAGTTTATTCAAATCTAGGGAAAAATTTCGCTGTCCAATATAAATTGACTTGTCTTAATACAGAACTTACCCACTACTGAACAAGGGAGAAGTACCTGGTGCCAACCACGATTTTGTAGAATTACTTGGCAATGGAGCAAGCCATAAAATATTTCTTAAATTCATTCCATCATCGTAAGGAACATTAGACCCTGTGAACCATCATTAAAGGCACTATCAATAGCAACACAGAAATCATATAAACATTGCAAATCATTCTATTTCTTCCATTCACAGACTTAAGAATGCAGCCAAAAGAAATCACAAGAAGATTAGAAAGACATGAGCCCAAAATCAAATTAATCATGGATTTTTTTATTGGTGATGATTGTCTAGCAGGAAAATTAGAGACATACTAATTATTGGTTCATAGATGGAAGATAAACCTTCCATGCATGTAAAATATGTAATTTTATGAAATATTTGTTCAAGATGTTGCTAAGCCAAACTTACCCACTTGGCAGTAGCCCATATTGTATGGAAAAACTTCTTTATCATATGCGGGGTACTCTTTAGCATGAAACCTGCAATTCAAAATTGGCGTGAACAAGTTATAGTGAAAAATATATAATTTTTGAAGTAAAGCAGTAGCTAAGGTTGTGTTGGTGTTTTATTTAAAAAGAAAATATCAAAGCAGTAGTGCTTTCAGGAAATCATCTATTTAACCCACAACTGCTAAAGTAATAACAGAACAATTTCTTTGAATGCTACACATTCTCTGACTACTGTTCTCTATTCAAATAATAATATATATTCCATACACTGCAAGCGATATTTTTGTTCCAAGTCAAATCAACTTTTATGTTACCCTACAATAGGCATTCCCAATTTTGCATGAGGTCTCAGACTTCCACACTTAAAGCAAGCAATTTTTAATCATTGCAGAGTCCATTGTAACCTAGTACCCACCAAATCTGAAGGGAAATATAACTCTAGGAAAATGACTATAAAAAATGAGACACCTTGATGCAGAGGTGTTGATGAATGAAACTAATCTAGTGGTGGCAATGGGCCGAG